CCATTTCGATGAGAATATTCTTCTTGTTTACTTTACCAATTGGCAAATGTAATTTGATAAGGAGGAAAAAAGCAGTGCTGCCCAAGTTTTTTCAAACATTGTAACCAGTTCGTTCGGTTGTTAAGAAAAGTAACAAAACTTACTTTACATGTTGCTTTCCATTTGTACGGGTTTCGAATTCACTTTTAAAGTATGAACAGATTCATCTGAAAACTATTAGTCTTATTCGTTTCCATTTCTTGGGAGCATTACTTATAAAGGGTGATTTTTAACTATTATCTTTTTCACAACACTGGTTTAAACAGCTGACGCACGTTTTGTGTTTTGTATCACTGTCAAACATCTTCAGTTTGGTCTATAATTTAACCATGAATCGTCTTACAAGCGAACAACGCTTGCAAATTATTGAATTTTATTATCAAAATGCCAAGGTCGTTTTTGACTTCATCGGTGCGTAAATAATCGATTTTGAGTGAATTTTGGAGTGTAGAAGGATTGCAAGAGCTACCAATGCATCCAGGAAAAAACACAGTTTGGTGCGGTTTATGGGCACCTTGTGGCATCATTGGACCGTATTTCATCAAAGATGATGCGGATCGTAACGTAACTGCGAATGGTGAGCCCTGTGAGTTCAGTGAACATTTTATTTCACGTTCGGGACCGGTCACTTGGCCACCTTGATCGTGCGATTTAACTCCTTTAGAATATTTTTCGTGGGCTATGTTAAATCTAATGTCTATGAGGACAAGCCCGCTTCAATTGACGCATTTGAGGATAACATTGAAGTATTTATTCGTGAGATACCGGCCGACTCTTTCCAACAGAGTATGCCAAAATTAGACTAAGCGGATTGATCATTTGAGGCCCAGTTATTTTCGTGAAATAATCTTCAAACATCAAATTCTATGGACCGTACTATTAATTCAAATAAAGATTTCATGCATTTTTCTGAATTTTTGGTATTTGTTTTTGTTTAAAACTTTCTTATAGCTCTTTAATAATCACCCTTTAGTGGTTAGCATTTCGTACTAACATTCGAAAGGCTCGGGTTCATATTTTAAATAAAAAATTAAATTCAATCTTCTTTTTGCGGTCGCCCCTCGGCAGGGAATGTCCACCCCTCCGAGTGTGTTTCGAGAATGAAATAAAGGCTCCTCGTAAAATAACCATCAGCCGTTTGGAGGCGGCTTAGTATAAACTGTAGGTCCCTCCATTTGTTGGAAAACATCAAGATACAAAAACTACAAATTGGATGAGGAGCTTGGCCGAAAAAGCTCCAATTATACAATATTTGTATAATGTCTACAATTTTCTATAAATAGTACGTTTTTACATTAAAAGAGTGACTTCACCATACCTGAACTGCTATCTGAAGAAGTGAAAAAATTACTATTTATTTTGCCGAAATTTGTATACAGACTAACTTACGTAACTGTATTTTGTTTACCGACCAAAAAATAAATACATTTTATTGAGTTAATTTTGATAGCGTGCTGCTGTTGTTGTTGTTGTCGCAAAAATATTTCCAAAAGTACTAAAGTGACAGTTCCTGGCCGGGTCGTTCCGATATAAAGACCCGACCGTCGCGGAGACTATTCGATTTTAGTCACCTCTTACGACAGAAATGCCTTACGGCGGGTAAATTCTTGAACCCCTAACCCGCAGGGGGTACTAGGGAGTACGGTTTACTGCTAATCTCTTCAGATTATATTATTTTATTTGGATTTGATATGAAATAGCTGATAAACTAGCTTTTTATAATTTTTGACTTATACCACTTTCAAAATCTAGGACACATACATATGGATGCATGCACACTGAATCAATCATCTCAATAGCCTATTTTCTTGAAAGATCAAATATTTTTCATAAAATTTAAACAAAAGGTATCTAAACTCGAAATGTAAATATGTATGATAAGTAAATATGTAAATAAGTATTAATAACTAAAGCTCCCAAGCAAATAGCTTAAAAGATATATGTTGTAAGATACATATATTTTATTTATGAAAAAATCGTGAAAAATCGTTTAAAACAATATGTACATACATATATTTTATTTAGTTATATATATTTATTTATATATATTTATTTATATATATTTTATTTATTTATATAAAATATATGTATGTACATAGTGTTTTAATCGATTTTTCAAGGGATAAAATTCGGAATCGTTTATAAAAAAAAAAAAACTTCAAGAAAAGATTTCTTTTTTGGTTAGAAAAAATTAAAATTTTCGGAATAGTTCTTTTTTATACATATTTCTTCAGTATTACATTCAAACACAAATACAGCTAAGAGCGCATATAAATATTCATGAATGTATAAATGTATATAAATATATGTATGTACTTTGGTTTCTCAGTTTTGTATATGTGTTAGTAGAGCTTCTATTTCTGATATTAAGAAGCAAATCGATCCACCAATTACAAGTGACCAGTCTCTCTCTCTAAACATTTTTTAATGATCCACTCTTGTATTGCGTAAAGTATTCCAAAATGCAGATTAACTCTCTGTGCTAATTTCCATATGAATGCGCATTGCCTCAAGATTAATACTATTAAAAGGTTATATGTACGTGTATATGCACATGCAAGCAAAACGATTATAAGTATACAGATACATACAGCTATAGGCAAAGCTTTAGAACTCTTATGACTAAAACAAAGATGGTTCTTCTTATGACAGCGACATACACGGAAGATTCTTTATACCACATCAGTATTTTTCCCACTGATTCTTGTATTTGTTATTACTTATATTTTTAAAAAAGCAGCAATGAGATATGAGAGAGCAAATTTTAGTGTCTGGGGGTGGTTTTCGTGGTCTGTCATTTTATTGAGGTTAAGATAAAGTAAAGTAAATCGGGCAATCGTCTAAGTTTTATAAAAATTAAAATAAAATTGTAAACAAAAATGGCTTTTGAGTATTTGGCATACGTTTTATCCCAAGATAAGGAGGTTTTGTTCCCTTCATCATTGGGTAGAAATTTGCTTCCGTAAGTTGAAGGTCGTTTCCACTTGAATGCCACTGAGTTTCTTGATAGACAACTGAGTAGGAAACAGGTAATAATATAACTTTTAAATATTTTTTCAGTTTTTACACTACTAAAATGTTTAAAGGTTCTAACCGCCTAGCGATTCTTTGCAACTGGATGCTACCAACTTCCCTACAGAGAGCATTAGGGAATACCCATAAGTCAGGCGTCAGTAAGCCATTGTATTCATCGCGTGGAAGAGGCAGTGAACCATTCAATGTTTCCTGCGGCTATTGATTGCATTCATGTGTTCATCATGAGTCCCAGAAATCATGAAGAAGCCTATGTCAACCTTCGTGGATACCATTCTACCAACGTGCAAATGGTGAGAGTAATTTTTTTTTTCAATTACTATGTGATACTTATCTCAAGACGTTGGTTTTGGTTTGATAAACTTTTTAATGCATTGGTGTTTATTTAATAAAAATAATTTCTATAACGAATTTATTTGTTTTTGTCATTCCTCTTTGTACTTTCGCATATTTTGCTAGGCTGTGGTGCCACCTTTCCTTCATTTCAATCGATTATCTTAAAAACTGAGTTAGAGAATGGCATAATCGTTAGCGTAAGCAACAAAATTTGTAACTTTGCGATCCGACAAATCGTGTCGATAAAAGTTACAGAATTGAACTACTGGTGTTGGACAACCGGTTGAGACATGGGATATATACATGCTGTGTGTTGAATATTTTTGTACGATCACTCTCCAAAACCCCAACTTGCGGTAAGCAATTGCTTGTCCGAAGAGAAATGATATTTTTCGAGTAAACAGCGCAAAGTTCCGAAAAAATCCAAGCGAGAACTTGTGGAATGAAACTAAGATTGAAATTTGTAAGAAGTAATTTAAAAAAATTCGATAAAACTTAATCATGTGCACATGAAATACGACACTCTATTCCATAAGGAGGATACCATAAGCTTTTCGGTCGTATAGCAAGCAGCTCTATTGCTGTTATTCCACTAGTATCAATCATTCAAAAATAAAAACTTAATATTTTCTATAAACTTAAAAATGTGCGCTAAATACTTGCCCAAGTGTAAATAAATAAAACAGGTAATAATGGTAATAAAATAATTCATTTTCTTTAAATATTAATTAAAAAACTAGAAAGTGCGCTAAAACTTTGTCGACAACTGTCGATCATTGTTACCACACCAATGCGCCATGCAGCAGAAACTCAACACGAATGAATAAACTAGTATTTAATTGCTATGAAACTGAGGTATAAGCGGGCAATTGGTATTTCCTAGGTTATCATTGGGCGAAAAAATATCAGGCGCTAATATGGGAAAATGATTGCGAATGAACTAGTTGGTGTAAAAACGTAAAGTTTACGGTACTCTTTTTAACAGCTGTATATTTTTCTTGCAACTGAAAGTAATGTATTTGCATGGTGAAGGTGGGCCCTGCAACTTTTAGTTGCAAAATATACAGCTTTTTATTTTAAATTTCACAATATCGTTAAAAGCATGTACGCATCTAACAGTGCTTTGGGAACTTTGATCTTGAAAAATTCTATAACTCAGTAATGTAAAATGAGGATGCATCGATACTGCAATAAAAACCTTTTTTTGATACTCAAAGCTCAATAATGTGATCACTAATCCACACATGCTTACATACAAAAGTATATTTACTCACATTTTTGGTTTAGCCTTAATTCGGAGAGAAAATACTAGCAGCCACTCACCTCAGCTCATTCTGCTACGTTCTAGCTCTTTTCGGGACCAGTTGACGGACATAAGTACGTACATGTGCATGTGAATGTATGCATCTACCAATATACACAACTACATATTTAAATGTTTGAGCCATTGAGCGAATTTCCCATGGCCAATTCGGACTCGGAGATCCATGGAACTTGCAGCCGACCGTGTCATGATACGTCGTAGTCAGTCGCTTAGTTCAGTTCAATTCGATTCGCTTCTGGTGCAGCAAGTTTAAAACGGTGCGCGCGCGCAAACAGTTATTAGTAGTGTTTTAGCCAAGTGTATATGTAAATATATAGCTACTCAACTAGTTGGCCACTAAAAGCGTTGTTCAATTGTATAATTAAGCAATGTTGCATATATAAGCGTTCCCCTATGTGTAAATGGTGAACCTTTTTCTAAGCATAAATTCTACGCGTAAATAAGTATATGTAAATATACAAATATACTCGCATATGTGTTGGTGCTAAGCTAAATGCGAACGTAAATTATTGTGAGAGGAATCATATGGCCTTTGATTTCTTTATGCAGGCTAAAAAGCAACAGTTCGCTGATTTACATTTAACGATTCTGAAACATTAACGTTGCGATTGATATTTCTCACAGTACTAGAAAATATACAAATAACATAAGTGAATACCAATGTAAATAAGTGAATATACATATAAACAAGTGGATATACGATATATAATATGTAAAGTATAAGCACGAAATACTAAACACATGTATGTGCATGTATATGTATGTGTATACATGAAATTAATCTAAGTCGATTTAAAAATTTAAAGATAGTGATACCAAGTCCCGGTGTTGTGATTAGTCAAACGTTATAGTGAAGAAATGCAACATGCACACATTCAAATACACATATGTATTGTAAGATTTGACAATTTTAGAATTTAGGAATCGAAAAGGTACAACTCACCTGAAGCGAATTACATTTATTCTATTTTATTTTCTAAATGTGCCACTTAGATACCGATTTGTAAGGCCCAACACCATTAGATTTCTTGAACAAATGCGAAACAGTTAATGTTTTTAAAGATTGCTACTAACACATTGCAATATAAAATAATTTCTTTGCATTATAAGCCACCTTGAGCAATATATTCTTAATAGCAAACTTATACTAGTATTTCTCCCACTCGTAAAAATCAATAAAAAGTTGGCTGAAAATTATACAATACTATCATTGGTATACTTTTGCGAATTGCGATTTCGCTGATTTATGCCTAATTCGGATAATTCGCATCACCTTAGAAAAAGTGTGAAAAGAGGATATTCAAAAAATGTTAGCTTTTTCCCAGAATTTTTCTAAAATATGAAGTACTTCGAAATGTTTTGAAGCTTTAAATTATATTTGCTACTCTTACATAACATCACATCGGAATACAATCCCTGCCCAGAATTAGAAAATTTAGCTAAATTTTTATTTAAATTAATTTTCTATAACTTTTTGGATATTAGTACGACACTAGGATTTGAACTCGAGCCTTCCGAGTGGCAGTGCGCAATGATAACGACTCCGATACCGCGCTCTAAATTAGGATCTTTGGGTTTTCAATTTTTTTTGGAGCCCTGCTCGTCGGTGCGGAACATCCGTCATAAAATATTTAATAAGCTACTTGTATTTCTTAAGTATTTTATCATTTTAGACTTATTTTTCGGCGGAAAATTGTAATAAGCTATAGCAGCTTGTGACAGAAGCTTCTATCGCGAACACAGAAATAACAGTATACTCGTAAAGTCATAGAAATAAACTTAAAAATATCTTCAACGTCATCAAGTATGCTTTCTATTGAGATTTTCATACTTCAGAAAGTTAATGCTAGACAAAGGAGTACTCTAATTAGTCAAGGTGTTGCATAAAAACTTATCGCTTTATTTAGCTTTCCATGCTAAAATAAATATCCTCATACTTGATTGATAGTAAGAGAACAGTGGTTAAATTTCGAACTTCACTTGATATACGAGTATCAGTACCACCTGGTGTACTTTAGGGTAGGCAACTTGCCTACCGGTACTTCAGTACAGCTGATGTCAAACTCTTGACATTCCATTCGTTAGTTCTAGTTAATAAAGAGTACATTTTTAAATAGACATATATAGACAATGGATCAAGGTGGCATGTACATATATATGAGCTTTTATAGGAAATCATTTTTGTCGATGTTTATAATTCATTTCACACTGGACCGGACCCTAAGCTTACATTAAGGTTTTTGGGTTAAAAGCTAGGCAGCTCAGTAATCCATACATTACAAATTATTATTTCGTGTGTTTAAAGAAATGAAATGGAGAAAGGAAATGTCAATGCGAAAAATGCCGAGCGATTTTCAGAGTTTTCCGACAGTTCGGCAAAATGCTCATAAACACCAAACGCGATATGATATTTGCATGATTCAAAAAGCAATATATTTGGAATGAAATACAGAATAAAACACTGATATCAGATTTTATGTAACAAAGATAAATAAATTAAAAGTTGAGTTCTCTATTATAAAATGTTTTTGAACAAATAAAAAGTCATATTTTCATCACAATTTGATATGAACTAATTAGTAAGAAGTACTTACTTGCATTTCCACCGTGTTTTGCAATAAGATAAAAAATATTACTCAATTCTAATGTTATGTACAACCCAACGCCACAGCGATTTACCGCCGCAGATCGGTTGTCGGATGTTGTCCATAAAGTGTAAAAACGAAAAACTGTTTATTTTTAATTCTTTTGTATTTGTTTTGAGATAAAGTCCTACCGGAGCGAATAGTAAAGCGCTAAAATACGCGGACCGATATATCGGCTCTAGCTGCAGTCGGCACTAAAAGGGTTACAAGCAGGGTTTGGGGTTTCATGTTGAACATGGTATGAGAGGTGTTATCAATCATCAATATTTGCTTAGTGAAACCCCCAAGAAGACTAACCGTTGACTGTGGTATTTTGTGAAAGAATGAATGAATTGAATTGTCGTTGATCTTGTTGGTTCTATACCCCATATAATAGACCCTTTATTCCAAAAATGACTAAAACATTTGCAAAAATGGGCCAACCAAAGGGTGTTATGTCGAATTATTTTACAACAACTGAAATATTCTACATTTTTGTAAGACCACCCCAATTTAAAAATTTGTCTCAATTGGATGTGTGACGAGTAGCCTTTTGTTTATGGACAATTTATTTTAAATTATTTTTAATATTTGCCAAAATTATATATTCAAGAAAAGTATTGGTGGCATTTTATTTAATCATATTTTTCATAGCTCAAATGGTAGGAAGTAACACAAATCGGTATACAGGTGAACATTAGAAGTATGTGAATGACCAAGTGCTATCTCGCGGGTCAATAAAAATTAAAATTAGAAAATGCGTTTTAATGAAATGAAATGAAATCATAATATAAAATACTATATATTAAATGCCAAATTATTTGATATGTACTGTGTATATAAGTATATAATTGTGGTGAAGTTTTTAACAATTTTTCGTTTTGAAGATAGAGACTGCGAATTATCAGCGGGTAACGTGATGGCAAGAATGAGATCGGTCAAAAGTATTTAATATATTACATACATATATTGTACATTTATATTGTGAAAACACACAGATAGAGTTGTGTATATAAATACATTGTATATGTAACTACACGTATGCATGTATGAGTGCGGATATGTAGTTGCTTCGGTTTTATTTACTTAAATGTATATCCGTTCCAGTTTCTTCAGTCTTCTCGCAATACTGGCAATAATAAATGGAACGAAATTGCAGTGAAACTAGAGCACAAAACTTCTTTAGGGTAATGCCTTGCAAATATTCAAACGCTACCTAGTATAAATATATGTGTAAATGCAATATATATGTATGTGTGTACGTATGCATTTCTGTATGAACAACTGTTGCGAACATCATTTAAGACTGCGGCATTTAGTACGGGCACCAAAAGCACTTGTTGCCGCTGCCAATTCAGCCACCAGCAACAGAAATAGCAACAGTAATAAAATTACATGCATATAATATATTTATGCGTGTATGTACATATGTATGTATCCATATATGTAAATAGCAGTAACAGCACATCAGTAGAGGCGACAGTGAATAGCGAGGGAAACCTAACGGAATAATGCTGCTTTAAACAAAATGTTTCTGGCCAAATCAAATACACATACAAACAAACGAATACTTGTGCGAATACATCAAGTCGCCGCAGCGTTTGTCGCGGTTACCACCTTCACAGCAACTCTCACACTCAGTAGACAGTCAGCAATTTACCTCCCCTACGTGTCGTCTAGATTCCATCACTTTATTGTTGCTATAGTCGAAACTGACTTTTGTAGCAGAGTCAACGCCAGCGCTTCTAACAACGAAACCAGCATAGCCACTGTGATCGTCGCCACCAACACAAGCACTGCAAACGTCGACGCCGCCGACCCTCCTCAAGCGTTCAAGACGAAGTAAAATGGAACCCTCATATGATCACGAACAACCACATCATCTGCTAACAAATTACAAGTAATATTTACATTTTTCCCATGGAAGCTTTATTTTTTTGTGTTTAATTATATCCAACTGAAAAGTAGTAGTAGATACATATCTTTGAGATAATAACCATAATGAATGAAAATGTAGTTGTGAAATTTTTTTATAGTGTGTGTATAGTACAAGTACAAGTATACTATATACAATATATACTTGTATGTAGGTACTTACATACAAATGTACATAGCTGTGCAGGGCCATAGAGTCATACATACATACATATTTAGATGTAAGTTTAACTAAAACTAAGATGAATCTCTGAAAAAACGGGTGAATACCAATAAGCACTATAAATGAAATTCATTCATTTTGTTCTATATTTTTGTAAATATAAATTTAATTGTATGTACAGTGGTTTCATACTACATTTAGTAATTATTTTTCATAAAAAAAATATAGCCAGTGTGGTAAATGGTAAAACGTATGTATAGGAGTTATTAAGGACATTTCTGATTACAATAACCTTTAGCAGAGAAAAATTGTCTCCTTCAAAGTAGTCATCTTCAGCACAATCCTCGTGCCTGAGGCATCGTACAGGTTTTTGATTCTGTGCGTTCTCACCGTATACCACCATCAACATCGCAAGTATTCTCGAATACTTAATTCCATTTGGATCTACAATTTTGGTATAAGATTTCTTGATTCAATGTTAAACGACAAAAAAAAACATTTTTTTCTTGGAAACGGTTCTATATAACTCCATACAATTTTGTTGGTAAATTAAATTCCTCGGATTAAACATGGTATTTTCTAATACATAGAGCTGCCAATTAGTTTTCGTCTACTCATTAATACAATTTTTGTAATATAATTTATTGGATAATCTATAATGACAATATTATTACTGATGATAGGTGCTTAGAATATATTTTTATACAAAAGATGATAAACAAATTTGATTTTGTTATGAATAAATAATGAATATTATATAATTGGCGGCCGCAATAGCCAATTGGTTATCATTGCGTACTACTACTCGGAAGGTCCTCATAAACTACCATCAGCTGCTCGGAGGCGGCTTAGTATAAACTGTAGGTTCCTCTTTTTTTTGGAAACACTCCTCCCCGAGTGGCGATCGCAATTAGAAGAGTTAACTTAATTCTTTTCCTAAATTCATTTTCTATAGTTTTGGATATCTAAGTAAATATGGGCATTTTTATTATTGAAACGGCGGTATTGTACCCTGAAAGGCTTGTGCTTTAAAAATGTCACTTTATCGCTTTTGGAAGCGGAGAGTACCGTTATAAAATGAATGTATACAGTTTTGAAATAGTTTTTTCACATTTACAAAAGTCAAGAACTTATCTCCGTCATCTAATTTAAAGCTAAGATTCAATGAGAATTTTTATCCATATATTGTATTCTTTTATTGAACTATTACATTTTCGTGATTTTTATGTTAATAGCTTCCTTAAAATCCAATACATAATCACTCTTGCAATATGCGCCTAGTGGATTTAAGTAGGTCTCCCTCGACGAATAGAGACCAAACTCTACGAGTACAAGTCACTTGTTATTCCTATTCCTATTCTGCTATTTGATGGAGAAGCATGATCGATGACAACATCTGAGAGAAAGGCGAATGCCGCAACTAACGGAATGATGAGCTGTGCGAAATATGCGGCGACACTGATATGGATGAGAGCAAGATACAGCAACTACGCTGGAAGAGGACCAACCACACCTGGCTGCAGCTGGCGACAGTAAAGAAGAAAAGACAATTCGCCTTTACTTGCTATTCTTAGTGAGATTTAAACAATGTATTAATGCAACAAGGGAGAAAGTTGTATTAGAATAACTATTATTAAATACTACAAAATTTAGTGCTAACCCGAGTTTATGTAAAATTCATGGTCACTCTTCGCGATTTGTCAGTTTTACTTGCACCAATAATTTTGGTTTTTAATGACATCCAGTGTGTGAAATTTAGATCCTGAATAAGTAAAATTGAAATTCTGTTTGTCGTGTTTTTTCTTCTTCAACTACATTTCAGAAGAACACAGACCTCATCACTTCTGTTTTCTGTTTTCACAACACGTTTTCAATAAAAATCACAGAGAGGAATAAATGCGAAAACGTAACACTTCCAGATCAAAGTTCCGTATCCATTTTATCTGACGGCTCAAAACTCGATGGTAGGATGGGTTGCAGCGCTTCAGCGTCTTTCAAGCTGCAATAATGGAGGCCTTTACATGGGTCCTCAACTCTAGTATAGTATTTCAACCTACAAAATATATTCTGTCATTACAGCTCTTCATTGTAATCACACTACCTCAAAGGTGGCCATAAGAAGTAGGGAAAATTTAAACACACTCTCGACTGTAGGCGAAACGGCTATGATTTGGGTCCCCAGACATAAAGACATCATAGAAAATTAACAAAGCTTTCCTATGCAAAATCATCTAAGTGAGGAATCTCTGCGCTTAGGGGACCCCGTGAATGGGCGACTTAACTTTTTATCTACCTCCAAGATGAGTTTGAAAACTGTACTCCCAATAGTAACGAAAACTCATTTCGCTTGCGCGGCTTTTGTAGAATTGTGCAGCATTTATTTTGGGGATGCACCGGATACTCTCGTCAAATCCTTCGAGAGTTTTTGTGATAATAAAGCGTTTGTATGCACAACGGATATAGCAAACAAAATTAACAGATCTCTTTCTTCAACATCTTGGTGGCGTATCGAATAGGTATATCGAAATGCTTCAAACAAAACTTGCTCGATTTGCTGAGAAATTTTGAGAGAAGTTTGGATTTTATCGTTTTGGATAAATTAACTGATATTTGCAAAACTTGTTACTCTAAAAAAATATTTTTTTCACTGTAAAACGAATAGAGTTTTAGTAATAGGAATTACATTAATAACATCGTTTTTAGTTGAATATTTAATGCGCACCACCGAAGTAGTGAAAGTACTCGCATATGTACTTATACTAACACATCTATACATATAACATACGAGTACATTAGGGAAACTTGCAGATATTAGATACACTTACCTGTGGATTAATTAATCTAATCTGAGCTAAATAGGAAAATTAAAAAATAGTATAAAAATAAAAAGTCTGTAAATACTTCTCTTCACTTTCTCACATTTCTTTTTATACGTGAAATGAGAATTCGAACTCGTTTTTTTTTAATTTAATGAAAATGAATTTGGGGTTTGTCTAATTAGCATCACTTACTACATAATAAAATAAATATAAAACTTGTATGGTTTTTTAAGGTCCGATAGACGAGTGGTTAGCATTGCATACAGCCATTCTGAAGCCAAGGGTTCGAGTCCTGGTTCGAAGGAAATTAATTTCTCTGATTGCATTTGCCCCTCGGCAGGGAATGTCAACCCCTCCGAGTGAGTTTCTGACAAGAAATAAAAGCTACTTATAAAAATTCATTGGCTAAGAATAAACTGTAAGGCCCTTTAAATATTGGGAAAACAGCTACATAAACTGGAAGAAGAGCTTCGGCGGTCACAATGTCCCAATTATATATGTATACATGTACATATATGGTTTCCCATTTCGTGGTGTCAAAAGTACACGACCATATTTTTACATCCATGACACTCAACTGCCAAAACCAAACATGTTTTGTTTTAGTTAAAAGTCAGACATTTATGAAAATGGATCGCTTAACAGTCGCCCAACATGCTAAACTTGTTAAAGCGTACTACAAAAGTGGTGACTCATTTATACGGATAAACCTTTAGTTATGCTTGAGATACAGTTCAATGTATCCAAAAAGTGATCGAGAACTACCTCAAACGGTTCAAAATGTTCAAAAATTCCCGAGGTGGTTATTGGAAGGATGTGCTGTTTCACGTATAATGCCGAGGTTCCAACTTAATATGAACATGAACATCATGAAAAACATTGCTTTATTTGCTTTGATTTTCGAAGCGATAGCTTTTAAGCCTCCGGCTTTTGGGGTTAATCAGTTTGCCCTGCTATGCGAGAACTCCAAAACTTTTTCAAAAAAAATTAAAAGAAAATAAACGAAAACCACTTTTAACAAAAATCTCGATCTGACTAGCTAAAGAAGCGAGCCCTATGATCCTGGTAATGAGTGAGAGCTAGACGAAATGTCTCTTGTCGTCTTACAAACAGTCATAGCATTCTAGACTCGGCTCTCACGTCGTAGATGATTTGAAATCCAACGCAGAATCACTTTTGTCAACAAGTGTTCTCTCAACGAACAAAAAACAAACTTTACAAGTCACTCAGAATTCCACGTAGGTATGGACGATTACAACATCTGATGAGTCGGTGTTAGAAGTTTTCGAGAGAAAGTATTTGAGTAAGATTTATGGTTGTCTAAAAGCTGTATGAGATACGTGTATGCGGGAAATACATATGTAGTTTAGCGAATCAAGAAACAGCGACTGCGCTGGCTGGGCCATGACAGCTTGTAAAGTTTTCGATGCAGTACCCGCCGGTGGAAAAGGAGGAAGATTTTACCTCATTTCAAATACCAAGTGGAAAAACCTAACTGAACATACTTCGTATTCCCAATCGGCTCCAAACATCGGAAAGAAGGAATAAATGTCGTAGTATTATTAATTCGGCTATAATCGCGAGGGCAGTGTCTACGCTAGTAAGGAAAAATAAGAAGTGAAAAGAAGCCATTACATCCAAAAAAAACTTACTGGCTTGTGCGCCGTAGGTCCGAAAGTGTGATTGGACCTTACTTCTTTGTTGATTCGATGCGTTATGGTCTTTCGAAAACCGACTTCTATTGTTCTAAATTTGAAGAACACGACTTGGACAATATGTGTTTTTAACAAGATAGTGTCACATGCCTCACAACATGAGCAGATGTGGCTTTATTGTTTGCTAGCGTTAGTATATGGAAAAAAATGTAATTGAAATAAATTATCATATCATGTTTAATAAAAGTTCGCTAGCTTCGATCTTACGTGTGAAGTCAAGAGTTCATTAAAATCACTTTGGAAAATTCATACTTCATTTTACCCGTTT